CAATTTTTCTCAATGAAGCCACGAGGTTAGGCTTTCTGTATAATGGTTTAGTGCTCATGAAATTGCGACTCATTATATAATTTTCAGACTTTTTAAACTATAATCAAATTTTGACATGCGAAATATGAAGAGAACTGAGCAGTGGCTTAAGTTAGTGTGTCAATAAGTTTGGACATTTCTGTAGTGAAAAAGACAAATCAATAATTAGAATTATTTTCATGAAACATTTGCTTACATAAAATTTTTATTTTATTTTTATATAATAATTTTTTTCTTACATCTAGCTAATTTTTACTAAAAATTTAAAGGAAAAAATCAATTTATGCCTTTAATAATTTATTTTTTCGTGCATTTAGCTAATTGTTACTAAAGTTTTAAAGAAAAAAGCAAATTACTTCCTTTTTTTTGGCAAAATACCAGCCAAAGCCCCAAAACCAGCTGAGACATTCAGCAAAAATTACAACCAACAATGACAATATAAATAGAAAATATTGCAACAATGACAATATAAAGTGTCATTGAATTCAAGCCCCGTAGAATTGAAATTTAATTCTAATTATTTGGGAAAGTTAGAAGCCAAACAAAAGAATTAGAATTGAGGCTTCCAATTCCAATTCTATGCCTCAATTCTATAGGAACCAAACCTCCCAAACAAAAGTGTCATTGCTTAAATTGTTTCAAAGCCTGCCCCATTCATTTCACCCCCAAAAAAAATAATAATAACAAAACGGAACGTAGAGAATAACTTCACTGTGGTTCAATTCCTGGACGTAATTAGGTGAGGCAACTTATACAATGCACAAAAAGTAGTTGAGTTGATTTTTTCCATTCAATTTGAGCGGATGAGGGGTGAAAGTGGAATTTAACAAGCTCCATTCCTAGAGTCCGAGCTACATCGCACTTGCCTGGCACGGATTAAGGAAATAATTGGAAAAATTGTTTACTAAGAGTCCTATATACTAAATACATGTAAATCATACTCGATTACCGCCCACGGATTAAGGAAATAATTGGAAAAGTAGTTTCCTTTTTATTGATCTATTTAACGAAGTTGAATTGAGAACATTTTGGAGACACTTTAGTTGTCACCAAGCTGAGGAAATAAATTTTTCTAATTTTAACCTAGGCAAGAAAATACTTAGCCAAAAAAAGAAGAAGAAATAATTAGATTTTTGGAAGTATATATGTTTCTATATGTTGATGCATGAATTCATCCAAACAATATGTATATCGCTTTGCTAAAAGATAATAAACCATTAACTACTTAAACTAACTACACATGCCATTAAATAACAATTTGATCGTTTGTTTTTTTTTGTAATTTTGATGAAATGATTAGATCGATAGTTCTCAACAATGCCATTTTCTTGGTCAGTGTGAGAGAGTAAATTATGTTTTGCCAGGAAAAGAAGAAAATAGCTGTTAATTCTAGACAAATTGTCCATTTCTAAGTTTAATCCATCAATCAATGAGGAGTTAACACTAATTTATATTTTGTCGAAAAAAAAGAGAGAAAAAGATAGAGATGTTACTCTACATAAATCATCCATTTCTAAGTTTAATCCATCAATCAAGGGGAAATTAGGAGGGTGAAACAATGGAAACTGGAGAAAATATATCGACCGAATCACAATAAAATCTTTGACGTTTTTAGGAAACAAAATTACGGGTAAATATTAAGAAAGGTGGAACCTTATATAATAATAGGATGGGATGCCAAAGCAATGTAGCTAGCCCTTAATTCATCAAAATCCCACCAAAAGACAAAAAAAAAAAAAAGGCGAAAATGAACAACATGATGATGAAGAAGAAGACGACCCAAGGTCGAAAAAAAATCGAGATCAAGAAGATAGACAACTTGAGCAACAGGCAAGTAACCTTCTCCAAGCGAAGAGTCGGTCTCTTCAAGAAAGCAAGTGAACTTTGCGTCTTGACCGGGGCAGAAGTTGCCATCATCGTTCATTCTTTGGGCAAGCGCGTCTTTGCTTTTGGTCACCCCAACATTGACGCTGTTATTAACCGCTATACCACGGGATCGGCATCATCATCATCATCATCATCCTCCTCGTCATCCGTTGCTGATCCGAAAACCCCATTGGGTGCTCATGAGATTCAACAACACAACCGACACTATGCTAAAGTGTCCAAAGAATTAGAGGTCGAGAGAAAAAGAAAGGAATTGATTGAAGGTTCGAAGTTAGAGAACGGTGGGAGTTTTTGGTGGGATGACCCAATTGAGCATATGGGTTTGGAGGACCTTCAACAGTATAAAGCTTCATTGGAAGAGTTGAAGAAAAAGCTGTTGATGAGAGCCGATGACTTGATATTGTTGAAAAATTCTTCTTCTTCTTCAACTAATTTGGGCTTAAATAATAGCGGTGATATCAATCCCGGCGTGACTGCAGTTGGTTGTGATGATATGTTCTTCAATCAGACGACGACTAAATACTGCAACAACTCCATCGTTCCTTATGGTTCTGATGACTTCGGAAATTCTCTGCAGGTTTGAAGATCTGTGGTTGGCAAAGTCAGGATAAGTTTAATATATGCATGGCTTTCAGCAGTTTTTTTTTACTGTTTAGTTTATTGATGGTTTTTCACAGTGTTGTTAGCGTTCGTTCCTTATGAATTACTATAAATTAGGCTCTTGCAGTGTTTTATTTTATTGTGTTGACTGATGTCTCTTTTTTTGTTTTTGTCTTTCAGTGATTTTTAAGTAGGGAGTATTCTTTATCTCCCCCTCTATGCGTGCATATATTTATATATATATGTGTGTGCGATCCAATCTTAAATAATTGATATTAGTGTTAAAAAGCACACTCACTGTGTGTGCAATTTAGAAATCATTATTATTTTTTATGAATTTGTAAATTTTATTGTTTCATTAATAAATTTTATAAGAACTTTTCATTAGCAAACTTCAATTTATAATTAATTTTTTCTTCAATTAAAAATAGATAATTTGGTAATTGCAATATTTAGAGTGATTATGTTGGTAAATGTGATCACGTGACTTAGGGTAAAAAATTAATTTTCTAAGAATAAAATTGAAAGTTCGAAAAAAAATTGTAGAAAATATTTACACGGGCTGTCAATGCCCTCTTCTTATATATTGTATAAGATTGAGGGCCTGGACTAAATGACACCAAACAGACAAAGTGAGATGTGTAAAAATAATTAATCCAAGTTTCCTTTCCTTTTTCTTTTAAATCCAATAGTATATTGCATGAAATTAAAAGCTTTAAGCAGTAAACTTACAGGATCAATCAAGCCCAAATCATGGGCTACATACAACCTCGGCCTATCTAAAGTTTTATTTACTGATGCAGGCTGACCCACTGCAAACAAGGTGAGATCACCTGATCCCGCAGATAAGTGTTTGAGTAACTTGTCTTTCTTTGTGTGGTCCAAGCATGATACCAGTGGGGAAATCCCTTCAATTGCCCCTAAAAGATATACATCAAGCACTAAGAACAATATAATCTGCAAAATGCGATGAAATGTGCAAACAATCACAAACATCACTCTCACCATCTTCTAACACCTTTAAGAAAGGCAAACCCTTTGCTCCAGATTTAATAGCTTCATTGTAAATATCACCTTTCTTCAAAGCAGTATTTGAGTATGTCTTTCCTCCTGAAGGGACACACAAGGCTTTAACAATTCCCCCACTCTTCAAGGTATCTGCAAATGCCTTGAAGGAGGAATTTGAAAATATCTCAGATACCTGCAAGCCAAGACCATTAGGTAATCACTCCAAAAAACAAAAAATAGATTTAAGATTTCATAATATAGTATCATCTATGGTACCAAAAGAATGACAACCTGTCTCCCCCCCCCCCCCCTCTCCCAAAAAAAAAAAAGAAAAAGGGAAAAGAAACTATTTTTCTTGGGACAAACTGAAGAAGGGGCTATAGACTGCATTGGCAGCTCTCAGTTGAGAAAATTGAAAGAGATAAAGAATAAAAACAAGTTTACATAATATAGTTAAGATAGTTTACATAATGATTCTTTTTGAGAAATAAATATCTTGGGAGAATAATTAATCTAGGATTATTTCCTTTTTCTTTGTTATAAGTTTTATTGTTTTTGCTGCTGGTACTCTCCTAATAAAGTACAAAGCAAGTGAATTTGAAACTTTATGGTCCTGTAATTTTAGGTTTAGGTCGTATTATGCGAGAATTAAATCAAACTCAGAGCCTCAGATGCTAACTGAAGTGATAGGAGGACCAAATGATATCTAGAATAAACAAAAATGATTGTTGCTTTGCTTAGCCGTGCTTAGGCTTAGTTTGCTGCTGCCCAATTTCAGTCATTTGTTTTACAAAACATTGCACAAATAAGGTCTTCAGAATTGCTGGAATTTCATATTTAAATTGCTCAAAAGAGTCCGAGAATTCTTACGTTTCCAATAAAAAAATTTCCACCTTCATGAACATGCATTTAATATATTAACATGAGGAAATCAGAATTCTGTTCTTAGCATCTCCAAGCAGTAGTGCAGCAAGTTAACTCTTTGGTGTCGTGCTTAACTGTTTAAGCTGTTGTATAAAACTGGACTGTTCTTTCTTTATTTATATATTCCTATGCTCGAGGAAGTGTACATTCTGTTTGATTACATTTCTTTTGTCATGTATAAGCATCATGTTAAAGTTTTGGCTGTATTTGTGATGGATTATTGCGAATCATTTTGCCATAGGTTCCTTGACATTCTGCATGAGGCTCCTTTATTTGGTCACCGGAAGCCTACTAGCATTTTGGGGAGTATATTCTACTGTATTTTGCTGGCAAGTGGTAGCTATTATCTGCTTCGGAGTCAACTAAGTTAATTACTACATTTTCAGTTTGTACCAAGAACTGCTGATTTTCTTGAATTTTAGGCAGGTTATGCTATTATTGCTGCTGGAGCTACATGGTTTTTTCACCCTCAACCGGAACTGATTTCACCTTTGCTCTGTAGTTCTGATGTCATTCTTTTGGTAATCACAGGTACATGCTTGGTCTTCTTTACCCTTTTTTGATGTATTCTTCGATGTGATGACTTAACTGCCCTGGAAGTTGGCGGTGATTTTAACTTTGCTTTTTGCAGGCTTCATCTTTCAAGTTTCATTTGATTTAGATGTCATATAATTCATCTCAGTTTTTTTGAGTTTTCTTTTCAAATACTTCCTGATCTGTAGTTTATCATTGTTACTGTGTTTTCCAGGTTTATTTCAGCAATACCTTGTCTATCAAGTGCAGAAAATACGGTTACAGGTTCTCTCTCTCTCTCATACACACACTCACACACACGCACAGACACACATACACACACAGAAGCACATACATAAACATGAGTTCATATGCATTTGGGGTATGTATGTGTATAATCCTTTCTATTTATCAATTGATTTCAAGTCCATCTTGGTACTAATTTGTTTTCTTTTGTGTATGTATGTTTCTTTTCTTCCAACTTTGGGAAGATGTAAATAATTCTTTGAACTAAAGGTAGAACTTCAGAAGGAAACCTTAACCATCATTGTCAACTGCATAAATAATTTGGAAGCCAAAGTTTTGATTGAATTTTGGGATTTGTGAAGTCTAAGCTAAGAGAGGAGCTAATAAATTGACTAAAGAATTAGGTATAAGACAACACACAAGGCGAGATGTGAGGAGATTGGTGGAATCATGGGGACATTAGGACATTCTGAGTGCACATGTGTTCGTAATAGTTATGTTCTTGAACTAATTTATGTGTGCTGTTATTTTACTTAGCAAGTTTATGAGTATTTTTCTTGATCTCTTGGTTGCTGTTATTTTATCCCAGCTTAAAATTTGTAGCTTTTGAAGCTTAGATTCAAGGCATGCATGTGTTTTGTAGGGTTACTACGTTTTCAGCCAAAAGTTGAAGCACATTATTCGCCTACCTTTTGCTGTTATAGCATGTGGTACGTTTGTATCTGCATTTTCATGCCCTATGATGTTGTAACCTGAAGAATTTCTAAATATGAAGAAATCATAGTAAATATTTACTCCATTTTGACATCAAATTAGTTTGTCCCATTCTATATAGTCTAGTGTTTATCTCGCATTTGGACGCAGTTCTTTGCTTTTTGTTTGAAGACATTTTCAGAATTCAATCTTCACCTAGCATTTTTTAGTCCTTAAGTAGGTCATCTTTGCCTTTTGACCAGTCTTCCATCCAAATATTACTGGAAATCTTACTAAATTACTACTTTTTCTTTTTCATTTTAAATTATTATTCTTTTTCTTTAAGTTCCTTGTTTACTGCATGATGATCAACCTTCTTTTATTGAATGTTCCTCCATTTATCTCTTGTAATACCTTGCTCGTATTCTTCACAGAAATACTGAAATGTAGTCAGCACCTTTTTGGCTTTCAATGAGATATCTCTATGATATATGCACTGCAGGAACTGCAGCTATGCTGCTTATCCATGTCTGGGAAATTTATATACGCTTTCTGTCCATATCAACAATACTTAGGTATGCTATTAGTTCTTTGAATACATACTCAAGTTCACTAGGTTCATCTGGACTAATGTAAACTCTCTTTTTTCAATCTGTCTGGAAGAAACAAACATGCATATGTTAAGCACTTTTTTTTATGTGAAAAGTTACTTTTGCCAAATGCAAGAAGCATATGTAGCATCTAGGAATCCATGATTGCTGCCAAGGGAAACTGTTCATTTCTGACTATTTAATCACTTAGCATTAAATGTGCAGGATTATTATGCTAGCTGAGATAATTTGTGCTGCGTTCTTCATGAGTGTCTATATTGGTGAGTTTTGACTGGCTAATTGTTATATGTAGTCATTAAAAATTCCACATTTTTTTGGCAATTAAATCGAGATGCTTTTGTTAGGATCTTGTTGATGACTGCACTGACATGCATTCTATCATATAATAGCAACTTCATCTTGCTTAAAACTTTATTACTTTTGCCTATCAAGCACTACACTAACTAGTCCAGTATATAAGGTTCAACTATAGCTGATTTGCTATCAGTTATAATTTTTCTTTCTGCAGGCTTCCAATTTTTAGTCATATGTAAGCATTGTAATGTTTTGGACTATGAATGCTGCAATGGCCAGCACAAGTAGCTCCACAATGGTTCTTGTGCCATCAGTGTTTAATAAACATTTCTGTGCTGCAGGTTATGTACACCAGTACAGTGCATTGGATTCTCAACCTGATGTTTTGAAATCATTATATTCTCCACTTCAACCATCCAGCTCTCTGGAAGAGTTAAGGTAACAATATTACAATGGTCGGACTGCTTCAGCCTCTGAACAATTTTTCAGCTAGTTTACTTTCTTTCCTGTAATGTCTTAAGGCTGATGTGGTAGGTCACCACACAGTGTAGGTGATTGCTTTCACTACCATAAAATTAACCTTCCACTGCCCCCGGTACCTCCCCTATCCAGAAGTTGTACTACATAATAGCGCATTTTGAGAACTTCTGATGACTCTGCTACACTTTTTGCCAGCAGTTCTCTTGAAACCGTTCTGTTACTGCCGGCATTTGAAACTTCCTGATAATTGCTAATCATGAGCTTGAGTTATATTAGACCACTTTGGATACCAATCTATCTAAACTAGATGTTCCAAGTCTATTTGTGTGCTTAAACTTCAACACTCTTTTTCACCACCTCTTGGTCATTCTTCTGCAGATGCATATCCAAAGTTTGCTTTCTATTTGTCATTATTGTATTACCTTGATGAAACTAGAATGTATATTGTTGTAAAGCAGGAGTTTTCATGTTCAACTGGCCTATAAGGCAAAGTATTATGTAACAAATCCATGACATCATGATGTATTTGTGCTCACAATCTTCTCTTCTACATGAATTCTTGCATTTATGAAGATGTTCTCAGCATCTAGATAAATGCTTTCATGATTGTTATCCCAATTTAATTTTGGGAATGATTATTGCTCTTATCTCATTCAATACTCTGGAAGATCACAGATAAATGGAGATAAAGTACTGAAACAGTAGGCCATTATTGTGCTTCCAGACCCAAGCAGAAAATGGGCAAGTAATTTTTGGTGCTCAATTGAAATCAAATGCTGCTTCTGTGCCAATTAGCTTGCCTGGATTTGGATTTTTTTTGGGGCTCGACTGAGATGGCTCAATTGTGGTTTGAAAGTGGCATTTTTGAAATACTTTCCTAGGATGAGAGTTTTGATAATTAAGTTGAAATGTGTACAACTGTGACGTGGTTGGTTTTAATGCACTCTAATAAGGACATCTGGTTTTTTTTTTTTTTTTAGATTTTGTATTCTGAAAATCAGTACTTGGGATAGCACACTGATAAGGATGT